ATAAATGCAGTAAATTTTTTAATTCATTTTTGAGAATTATTCCATTTTTCTTTAATTTTTCTTTAATACTTCTAAAATATGGATCTGAAAATAAAATACATAACAGGAACAGTCTATAGACAATTCCATTACAGGTGTTGCATACTTGGTACCTAAAACATGGAGACTGAATGAATCAGAAAGCTTGTTCTTTCACCAAGAAAAATGCATAAAGCTTCTCACAGACAAGCATGCCAAGGTGTCTCCATGAAGTCATGTCAAACTTGGAAAACCAAGAAGATGCATACTGTGAACTTAATTCATTGTGTATGTTATGGAACATATCTGGAAATGAAAAAGTTTTAATGAGGAAGAAAGTTTTGTGACATTTTTTGTCTTGTTTTTTTTCTAAAGAGCAAGTAAACAAACAAAACCAATTCCACACAGCATTCAAACAACTGTAAAAACTACTCAACACTGTTCATACAGAAGACTCAAATTTCTTCACAGCTGATGAAAACACAAAGACTTTCCTATATAATCTGTGTTTTTCTATACACAGCCATAAACTTAAGAGTTGCTTCCCTTACCCTGCCCCAAAACAAGATGGTTCTCTATCCCACCCATTTTCCTACGACAAATCAAGCACAAAGATGAGTCCTCCAGTTGGTAATCTCAATCCACTGACCAACACACACAAGATTAAAATCACATGTACCACCTGACAGCCTCATTCCTCTCATGGTGCTGACCACATCCTGGGAAGAGAAGCAATCTTTTTTGTAGCACTGCTGTTCCCAAGCTAGTGAGCTACACAAGAGGTAAAAAGTAGGCACCACAGGGAACAACATATTCGGCTACTGGATGCATATCTGTTGCTACATGCAATTGCAAGTCCTTACTCGAGACTGAAATACAGAGCTGAATCCTGGAAGTTAGAAGAATGTATACATACAAGTAGGCATATATAATGCTTGTGTTGTGTTCAAAGGTGCACAGAAATTAAAAAAATACCTGGGATCTGAATGGTATTTATACTATTGTAGGTAATTGTATAACTGCGGTAGTTAATAGTATAACTATTGTCGTTAATGGTTGGATTATAACTACAATAAATAATAGCTATTATATATTCTGTGCAACAGTTATTACTGCTTTTTCCATTACTAAACCAAGTTTTTATTAGCTCTAATTACTTATTTTCATTTTTCACATATTACATTAAACACTGAGTACAGAAACTATTTACACATACACATAAACAGATGTTTAGCACAATGTTTTCATTAGTTTTCAGAGGCTACTATTTGTATGAAACTAAAAGGTCAACTGTGACCTGTAAAGCCAAACATTTGGCTTCTACAAATCTGCTTTAGCAAAAGTGATTGACCCATAGCAATAAATTCAATGTATCTCAAGTATGGGATGAATAAACTACAATATAAGTATGTCATCATTACAGCAAAATATAATAACATTATGACTTGCAACTGCACAATTTAAATTTTACTAAATATAGAAAAAACTGTCAGGTTGACTTTACTTCCCTCTCTGTCCCAAAAGACTGATTTACATAAAACTAGATTTGTTTATTTGTCTCTTCCTTGTCTTAAAATTAAGTACAACCTTTGGAACACTAGAATACCCACACATGATAAAACAGGAGTTTTGCCTAAGCTTTCTTAAATAATAAGGGCAGCTTTATGTTTATACCTATGTTTCTTAAAGAAAGGAATTTGTATACATTTTAAACAGCAAGACAAAATCCCTGCTAGAAAAAATCCACTGATTCTGCTCCTATATTAGTTTGGAAGACCTGAATTTGTTTTTCATATTCGGTGTAGCATATGTCAGCTGGAAGTGGGTGTACAACTGAGAACTTACACTAGGCAAAAGAAAAAAAATCTAAAAGAATATGCTAACTAAACTTACAGAACAGATTAAAAGAGAATTACTGGTGAAGGCCTTTTCTGGATACTTAGGTAACTATGCGGCTTTGTGTTTCCCTTCTCTGTTGATGATGTATTTGAAGTGATATTTGTAGACTGAAACAGTATTTTCTATTAAATTATCTTAAAAAGTTAGAAAAGGGAGGACACAAACATTTCAGGTCTTATGCAAACACCTTGCAGACATGAAAGCTTCTCCACACATATTCTCAACACAGCATAACATTGTTTCATTTTACAAAGCCTCAGATCTTCCAATAATGGTAGATACAAAAAATTTGCAGGAGGAAGACATAAGTTGTTTCTTTAAATGGGATCAATTGGTGTCATACTTTTGTAACTTGGACTGTTTTGTTTCCTAGGACTTATGCTAAAATTGAGAATGGTGACTATGAAATAAATTCTATACCTTTATTGCCATGAACTTCATTCCTAATTGCCACTTTCATCTGTTGAAATTCTTGTAACTTTATATCTTCTTCTGTTAGCAGATACCGCTTCCCTATCACAAGAAAAAAAAAGAGGAAGATTGAGTTTTACGTTACACTGTCTGATTTATTACTACTAAACATTGCATGTATTAATTACTGACTTCAATTTTCTGATGCCAGACCATTGTCAGCATGACATTAAAATACAGACTGCAAAACCTGAAGTTGTTCATGTCACAAACAAAAGAACTCAAATACTATGTTACAGCTCTATGGACTTTATGTGCACAAGGATGAAGAAGTATTTAGTTATTGAATGAGCACAGGAAAAAGTAGAGGCAATATTCCTCTTCACCAAGGAAGAGGAGCATTCTGCTCAGGAATAAGATCTTTCTCCCTTTTATACTTTCATAATGATTTTTTTGTCATTTCTTTATTGGCCACAATTCACTAGTGGCACAGCTTGCTTTCCCCTCAAGTGCTGTTCCCACTGCTGTAGAACACATCATTCTGGAAGCTACAAAAGCAGTACGAAGACACAAAAAGCTTATTTTTTGAATTTATAAAAACACCAACTGTATTACTTGGATTCCAGTAACACTCAGGAGACCTAGTGAAGTTCTGTTGCACTACAGACATAGAGGTAAGACAGTTATTTAATCTAGAAGCTCAAAATTAACTTTGGGTGCTGACCTCAACTGTACTGTGTTGCAAGCTGCTTTAATAAAAGTGTCATGCAAAAGCTATTTGACAAGTTTTTGCTGTTATAAAATCAGATGTCGATTAGATTTTTATTTGCAACTAATGACTTTGTAACAGAGAGTCACTGTAGTAGCTTACATTGTTACAATCTAATATTTTAAAGTTTTGGCTTCTTAAAGAATTATTGGAACCATGAAGGGACAAGAACAAGTATTGAACTGAGTTAGGTGGTTTATTCTCATTCTGCATTTCCCTAGAAAAATGTAACAGGTCATGCAAAAAACCCCACTTGTTTTCTATGCAAGCAAAGCATGCTAATGACACACTTCATAAAACCTGAAGCAAAAAATCCATTAAATGGCACATTCATCCATTAAATTTAATGGAAACTGTTCCAATGGGAAAACTAACACAATTTATCCAGCACGAAATTGACCTGTATTAGCCACCATTTAGGTCCCACAGACCTGGTCTAACAGCGAAAGCCCATCCCAGTCCTGGGCCTCTCCAGGGCTGGTGCAGCAATCATGCTAGTGCCTGGGGTGGGACCAGCACACTGCATATCACGGACACTCAGTGGTCACGGACAGTGTCAGCAGAGAGTGGGGGGCAGCAGAATTTTACCCTTCTTGAATTCAATTTGATGAATTCCACTGCTTCCTTAGATTCATACCTTACAGTGTTACAGAAACAAACCAGTGAAAAACCAAGCAAAGGGACCTCCAATGAAAAAGGAGGGAGATGGATATGATGGCTGGCATGTGCAGGTGGTGCAGGCTATCCCAGAGAACTTAATCAACTAACCTGCTCTGCCTCACAACCCTCTACCAGGCTGGCCAGTGAAGAGGGGTGGGCAGAGCACGAGGCAGAACGGAGGGCTCCATGTCTCTGAGGGGTCTAACAGAGCTGTAACCTGAGCGAAGCCTCCACAGGCCAGGAGCTCAGCCAGGGCCTGGGCTCAGAGCTCTGCAACATACACCTCTTTTCCATGTGCCCCCATTTCCTTCTCTGGGCAAGGGAGTGCCTTTGGAAGGCCTCTGAAGCCCAGAGTCTGGATAACACTGTCATCCTCCCAGAATAAACACACATTTATGAAACTGCACATGTATTTGGTTGGTTGTTTCCTTTTCAATGTCACATCCTGACAGCAGCAAGAAGGAGATCCACTCGCTAACGCTGACCTCCAGGGTGACCTTACTGTGGCCTTTCAGAACCTGAAGAGGGCCTACAGGAAAACTGGAGAGGGACTTTCACAACGGCATGTAGTGGTAGGACAAGGAGGAATGGCTTTTGACTAAAATAGAGTAGTTTAGATTAGATATTAGGAAGAAATTCTTTACTCTGAGAGTGGTGAGGCACTGGAATAGCCCAAAGAAGCGGTGCATGTTCCATCCCAGGAAACGCTCAGGGCCAAGTTGAATAGGGTTCTGTGCAACCCGATCCCGTAGAAAGTGTCCCCATGGCAGGGGGTTGAAACCGGACGATCTTTAAGGTCCTCTCTAACCCAGGCCATTCTGGGATTCATTTTATGATCTTGTAAGGCCACTGCCCACCCTCCCTGCACGGCTTGCCCACCAGGAGCCCCTCGGCGCTCCCCGCCAGAACACCACGCGCCGAGAAGGGAATCCAGGCAAGAACTACAGTTCCCGTCAGGCCCACGCCTGGCGGCGGCGCCGGACCTGCCGAGTGTTGCCGTACCCGGTATCCCCCGCACCGGCGGGCAGCCTCGCTCCCCGGCCAGGCCCCCCCCGTCCGCCCCCGCCGCGAAGCCCGCAGTACCTGCGGGCACGCAGCCCCAGGCGCCCGGGGCGGGCAGGCGAACCGCCGAGCGCCGCGCCGCCTCCCGCGCCGCCCGCCGGGACCCGCCCGCCAGCACCGCCGCCATCTCACGGCCCGGCCCGCGGGGCGGGGCGGGCCGGGGCACTCGCAGTCTCCCCGCGCCGCCCACCTCCTCCGGCCTCGGCACCATGGCCGCCCCCGTGCTCCGGCGCGCCCTGCTCCGCAGCGGGAGGGCCCTCGGCGCGGGCCCAGGTCTGTGCGCTGCTGGGGAGCGCGGCGGGGCGGGAGGCGCGGCCGGGGCACGGCGCTGGTGGCCGTGGTTGCCGCAGGCGGAGGTGGGAAGCGTGAGGAGGGGTGGGATGCTGCGCCGGGACTGCCCTCACCTTCCCCCGTTTCTCTCCGTATATCTGTGTGAAATTGGAGGCAGCTCTGTGGACGTCTTATCGCTGGCGTGCAGTGTAGGAGAGTGTTCGCAGTTTGTATTTTAGTGGATCCTCCACCGTGCGGATTTCATAGCTCGACATTTTAAGGCCTGCCCCTTTGGGCCGGGGGAACCCACGCGGAATTGTATGAGAGGCCGCCAAGCCCGTGGCAGTGAGTGCCCAGCACAACCTGGTAACGCCGGTGACAGAAGAGCCGCAAGGCTGATGTCTTGGAAAAGACAAAAATGTGACCCTTGGGAAGAACTGAGCTCAGTAACGTTTGCCTAAAGAGTGGTGGTGATGGGTGACTCCGTTGTGCCTTTTCACACGCGGAGCACGCTTTCCTCCGTTCTGCTTCCTGGATGCCCAGGGTTCAACCACGCCGCCCTTCCCTCTGGTGCTGAACCGGCGTGAAGAGCTCAGCCCTGACCTCGGCTTACCCGAGCATAGAGCTGTCAGGCGGACAGTTTTGGTATAGAAAATAGTTTTGTAAAGCCTCATGCTTGGTAGTAGCATCCTTCGCGTGAATAAGCATACAGTAATTTACCCTAAAAAAAAAGACCAACCAAAAAATCCCGAGAAACTCACACCAACCTCCCCAGGTCTTCTGTATGTCTCTTTTGTCAACCTAATGAAAAATAGCACTAAAAGAAACCGTACTAACCAAACAAAATACCTTATTTTCTGTTTGGTGAAGTGATGTACATACTCTCATATTCTGACTGTGGAATTCTGTGTTCTGGGCCTTTTTGATAAAGGTTTGCAAAGTTGTTCGGAGATGGACATGTGTGTATAATGATGTGTCAGAAGGATGAAGAGAAAAATTGTTTCAGAACCAAAACTAAACTTTCAGAGGTAGCTGATTTTCAGATTAAAGCTTTAAGGTAGTTGCTTAGACTTCTGTGTAGCATTGTAATGTCTATTTCTAAAATATTTCATGTTTCTTAACATTACTTTCTGCAACCTTCTACATGTATTCCTATATCTTACTTCAACAAATTTTATCCAGGTCTTCCTCATGCATTTTCAAGAACACATCATCTGTGGCTGATGTACAAATTCTTCTAACTGAAGCATTTACTGTTTTGTTTCAAAAGCTAGTACAGCATCTTGAAGAGATTTCAAAGGTGGTACAAAGAGTATTTGGAAAAAACTTCCAAAAATGTTTCCGTGAATGCACAATTCACAGGAGATGGAAAAAATGGAGAATATTAAATAAAAAGGGAAATATTTCCAGATGAGCATCTAACTTTCACTTCCAGTGAGACAGGTCTTTACAGGTAGAAAAAATAACTATCCAGCAACAACAGAAAAGCCTTTTTGTGCACAGCCATGTTTTTTGCTTATGTTTTTTAGCCTACATTTAGCTAATTGATAGCATTTGATAAAAAAGGTCTATGTGCACAAAGAAACTGCTTTTATTGTTCTTCGGGGTTTTTTCTGCCTTTACAAATTTGTCCTTTTCTTAAATAGAGAGTTCAGGTTTGGAAATACTTGTTTCGTGATGAAAAAAACCTTATAGGGGAAAGCTTTTCTGTTTTAAATATTACAAGAAAATAATAAAAATAAATAAAAATAAGTATAATAATAATAAATACTAATTAAAATAATAATAATTACAATGAATCAGAATTGTTACAGTAGTAGTTGCTGACTGCTGTGTTATAAAGACAGCTTAATGCATCCCACTCAGTAAATGGGACAGTAAAAGTTAATATCTAATAAAGTGTTACTTTGTTTAGAGTTGTCTAAGCAAACTAGCTTACATAGTATTGTCTTTCTTCATTAGGTAGAAGATCTCTTCTTTCTGCGGCCTATGTGGATAGCTCAAAATGGGAAAAGAGACAAAAAGAGGAGCACAACCTGGGTGAGAAAAGTTTGTTTCTTGTCTCCACTTTATCAAATGAATAGCAAGCTAAACTAATTTTTTACTAGCTCGTCATCTGTAAATAAGAAAATGTGTGAAGCAATATGCTTCTAAGGTTCTATGTCAAAAGATGTTCAGCATTTTAAAAATTTGTCATAAATATTCACAGCTGTAATGCAGAAACAAGTTAGAATTTGCCCATTTGATTAATATTTGGTTTCTAGAAGCTAGTTTTTTTTGTTTCACAAAATCCAAAGTTTTATGGCTGTATCCAAGTGTCATCTTCGTTGACATTGTTTTAATTGTACAGCAGTGCGAAAGAATAATAATAAGATAGGGGCCCCTGGTGGTCTAGTGGTTAGGGTGCAGGACTCTCACCGCTGCGACCCGGGTTCGATTCCCAGCCCCCCGGGCAGATGGAGCTCGTCAACCCTGTAAGGCAATCCATCTAAGAGAAGGTCACTCTAAACAAACCTATGTTCTGAGACCCTCACTGCCACTGTCCAAGCTTGCTCGGCCCCGGCAGATGAACCTCAGGATTAAAGGGTGGGCTCAGTTCAGCGCACGCTGGGTCTCACCTAAAAAATCCACTGCGCAGGCTCGAAGGGTTAATGACCTTTCCCAAATCTTCGCTCGCGAAGACTGGCCATTATTATTATTATTATTATTAGTGCGAAAGAAAAACTTAAGTATTGCAGGACAGTCCTGTTTAAAGACGTTTTTTAAAAGGAACATTTTCCTCAGAGTTTTGCAGTTTCTTGTTGAATTACAGATTTTTTGGGGCGGAATGAAACCAAAAGTTTTATTTTCAAGAAACTATACGTTAAACTGTATCTGCATACAGAACTGAGATCTCTAGTGCAAGTTTTATAGCTAAATTATTTGGCTATGTTACATTTGAAATTACATTCCACCATCTTTTTGGTGACTGTGTTAAATAGAAAACATCTTGCAAAACATATTTCCATGCTAAAGATAGATATGCAGTATTTTGTACCACAGGTGTTTGGAGACTCCTTAATGCATAATCCTTGTCTTCTCTTTTTCTTTCCTGAGCCCCTGAACCGTAGTTGTTACTTACAATGCAGATTATGAGGCTGAAAGAAGAATCAGCAGGTGAAATTCCAGGAGTTGTGTCAGGCAGGAAGCCAGACAAAATGATCAGAATGGTTTTTTATGCCCTGATTTGTTTCTCGTATTTGCATGTGAGCATGTAGGGGTTGGGATTGCCAACATGTTATACTGTACCTGGATCAGAAACAATTGGTGGGTCCTCATGGCTGTAGCTAGAATCCTGCGGAGACTGTTAATACCATGTTACCCTTTACTGTCAATAGGACTGCTCATGCAGTGTTTTTTGGGCTGGAGCCATAAATTTGTGCCCTGTGATGTATTTGAACCAGTCACCTTCAGGTGAAAATGGGTTATTATTTTGACAAATGTCATAGCCAATAGAAATCCACCACTGAAGAAAACACTGTTGTGCAAGTGCTGGTCCAGTCCATGTTTGGCTTTTCCCAGGCCTGGCAAGATCTTCTGTGACTGTTTGGCAGGCACAGTTCTTGCTGCTCCTCTGCTGATTATCTTGATCCAAAGCAGATGTCTGCTCCATGCTTTTCAAAGAACTGCTTTGCATTTTCATTTTGTGTTCACAGAAAAGAGAAAATAAGTTAACATGGTGTCAGCTTTATTAGCATTTTCAAAGAGGAGACAGCCCTGCAGACGTCTGCTCTGTAGCTGTCAGTTGTATGGTTGCACATATAATCTTGTGTGTGGTAACTGCTGATTATAGCTTGAGTGAATTCCTTGTGCTGAGGAGATGCTCTTTTATTTGTTCTTCAGACATTGTTTCAGAACTGTTATTATGCAAAACTATGTTGTGAGGATACTTTTAAAGGAAAAAAAAGTATTTAAGTATTTTCTTATTTAAAGTCAATTCCATTTCTCTGCTGCAATAATGTGCCATCCCAGACTTGAACTCATTTACTGCATCTATGTAAGATACACTTTATTGTCATCTCTGTAATCTCAGTTTAGCATTCCAGGCAGGAATGAGTTTAGCAAACTTCAGTACTGAAAAATGTGTGGGAAAGAACAAGTCTGTATTTTGTGTACAAAAGGTCATTTGTTCAAAAAGATAGGAATGGAAAATATGTTAATTTGGAATTTACAAGCTGCTTGCTGGTAGGAATATATCTGCCTAGATGTGGTTTGGACTCCATTTACTAAAAATGAAGTATCAAGGAAACAGAAGGCATGGCTCGGTTTAAATTCTCTATTGCTTCAGTTGGTTCATCACTAACAAGAATGAAAGTAAGTCACAGTAAGCACCTTCATGAAAAGAAAAACAATTACCAGAATCCCAGGGGATGGCATTAGATTCAGAGTGCCTAAAATGGCTCACCTGCAACACCAGGTGGCAGTGCTGCCTTTACAGACTTGAATGACTTCCATTCAAAGCCTTGTTCGGTACAAAGCTGTTGTTCTTTCCAGAAGCTGCTAGTTGTGTGGAAATAGAGAGAAATGTGGAACGTATAAATTGTAAGGTAAAATATTTGCCTTAGCCTTCCTTTATATTTTAATTGGATCTTTAAAATAAGTGAAGGCTTTCCTTATATCAAATGGTTAGCCTATGAGTTAGCTCTGCCCATCATTCCCAAGACAAGTAAATTTTGCACCACATTTGTATCTTCTTTCCCTATCACTGGATCAGAACACTGTTCTGGATGAACCACTTCTAAGAATACAAGGATATAAACAGAATAAAAGTGACCTTACGTGGTGGTTAAACGTGCCACTTACTGATAATGTTCTACTTGATGTGGCTACGTTCTGTGCATAGGTACACACTGCGAACCAAACTGATACTGTGATGATTTCCTAGGCCACCAAACTGGTGTTAGAAGTCATAACCACTGACTTGGAAGGTGACGGTCAGTATTTTCTCAGTCATTGTCCTTAATCACCCTGTTGCAGGCAGCAAGACACTGAGTTTATGTGAAAAAAATGAAAGTAAAAATGAGCATGAAGTCTCAGACACTGATCTTCTGGAGACCACATGCCTGGAAGTTTGCCTCAGCTCATATTTATGGTTTGTTTTGTTAGTTTGTTTAAATCCATTAGATTCTTCAATATATGGAACTATGTTTTTAGAGAAGTTTAGTTTTGAAGGAGTTAATCTTGTAGAAATGTATTTTTAGGCATTGTGTATGAGAGATTATATACAGTAGTGTCCTCTTTGGTAATTAGTCACATAAAAGCACTTGCAACATCTGTCTGTTAAAATGAATTAAATAGAATTTTGATCTCTCTGTTAAAATACTGATTTGGTTTATATACTAATGTTAGCACTCAAGTTTTACTACCAGCAATGACAGAAGATTTGGGCATTCACATGCTTGCATTCTAGTACTTCTGTCAGGTTTTTTTTGACGAAGAAGAAGTTTTAATCTTGATTGTTGAGTAGCAACAATGGAGAAAACTTGATTTACAAAAGGTAGCTGAATTATTTCAAACTGTGAATATGAGAAAAAAAAAGTCTGATTTTTGATGCTCTTCAGAGAAAACAAAGCAGTAAAGAATTGCTCACTGCAAATTATTCTTATCTAGTAACTACCACAGAAACAGCAGCTTGTATGGAAACAAAACTGAATTTCCCATTGTCTTAATTTGTCTGCTATTCTTTTAGATTTAATCAACTTTCAGTTTATTGTGACTCTTACACTGGAGTTGATTGATAAGTGCTTCATGTTGATTTCCATACTATAGTTCTGGTGGAGAGTTCCAGCTTTGTAGGCAGCATTAAAGGTCAATGATTAAAATTCTGTGTGTGAACTCTCCCAGAGGATGCTGGTGTATAATGGCTAACAGTCTTGTGATCTTGCATTCATGCCATTGTATTCATTGGGTTTATATTCTGCTTAAGTACTCAGTGGGCTGTTCATCTTCATGAGCACCTAGACAAAAGAAATGCCAAGCTCAGGGCTTGAGTGTGGCCCAGAATGGCCGTAGGGATCACCTAGTTTTCAGAGAGTGATGCGTAACAACTGTAGTTCTGCAATAGATAAATGAACTCCCAATATGTGCAGTTGTCTGTCTCAGGTCCACATTGCTGTGTCCAGCATATCAGATTTTGGAACGAATACTTCTTTCCAGCTGTCTCGAAATGGAGATGAAGAATGGTGGATGACAGTTGGCTTGGTACATTTAGGCAAGGACCTAGGTAGTCTTTGTTCTGGATAAGTTGACTTAGTCTTAGCATCCCTTCTCTCTAACTTCAGTCACTACTGGGAAGGCTCCCAACACCTTTGCCCGTGTGTGTCATCATGGTGTTTGTGACTGCTAGAGAGTTGGATAATATAGAGTCAAATATAGACACTTCTTGTAAGGCTATTCCCACTTAAATTTCTTTACCAATAAAGAAGTCAATCTGCTTTTTAGTGGTTATCCGGTGTAGCATGGCCTTGGTGGCCCACATCAGCTCAGCATCCTTTGTTGTCATCTTCATTTTCCAGGAACAGTATAAAACTAAAACTCCAAATTAAATTAATTTAACTTCCAATTAAATTCATTAAATGCAGCAATGGCTGGCTACCTGTTCAACAGTCAGAAGTTTCAAGTTGTGTATGGTTGAATTAATATTGTTATATGACTGCTGAAGAGAATGCTATAAAGTTAATAAGGTACTGGCACAATGCTCAATTTGATTAATAGAATTTCTTTGTATTGCTGTTTGTGACGGAAGAGTTTGTCATTATGGTACTGCTTGTTTCTGTTTCTCATTGTTTTACTGTAAAATAAAAATCCGTGCCAGAAGCACTGTCCAGCGTATGCTAGGCTTGAAACCAAGTGGGAATTCTGAGGACATCTGGTCAGTTGTTTTTTTTAGAGGAGTTATAGTAGTTATATGAATTTCATCCAGCACATTATAGGGTAGTTTGCTTTTCCCCCCATTTTACTAATAAGTTAGGATCATCATGTTGAGAACCTTTCAATGTATTATTTTCTGTTAAAGTATTTAACAATAATTGAAAGTACTGTTTTCATACAACTTCAAAATGAGATGTTAAAAAGTAACCAGAATTTGATTTCGTGGATACAGGTTCTATTCAAGGTTATATGATGACTCTGCAGATTTTCCTGTAATGCCAGTTGATTAAATGTACTCTTTTTCTGCTTTCTCCAGCTGACTTGGCCCACTTAATGGACAGAACCTATGAAAGAAAGCTACCTGTCAGCTCTTTGACAATAGCCCGGGTAAGAAAATAAATCCCAATCATGAAGTCATAGAAATGACCGTGGAATGCTTGTGTAATCAAGTAAGCTGAGAAGGAATAAATGATATCACCTCAGTTGGGAGTTCTGGGATCATAAATGTCTTGCTATACTGTTAGATGGCCGTTTCATTGTTACTTTAGACTCATTAGTTAGTACCTGGACCGTAGGGTCTTCAGAACAGAATATTTCTTTTTTCTGTAAAATCAGGCCTCACTATTAGTGGGTTGTGTTTTTCCCTAGTATATGTTCCCAGCCTTCTTGTGGTTTCTGTCTTTGTGAGAGCTTTAATGCCTCCTCAGGCACTGCATAAGACCCCAGGGTGCTAAGGGAATGCAATAAATTAACACCCTACACTGTCTGTCTTCCTCCACTTCCAGACTTCTTTCAGTGAGGCAGAGGTAGACGTATTTTGCTTCTGTAGTTTTCTTTCCTTGCAGCAGACTGAGGCAGAACAAATGCTGACATGGGTTAAGCAAAGCCATTATTTTTACTTGAATTAGTAACCAGTTCCATCCTCTGCATGGGTTAATCTGGAGAGGGGGAGCGAAAGCAAAGATGTGAGCTGTGTTTTTAAGTTACCTGTGTAAGAGAGTTTGTACTGAAGAAGGAGAATAAATATGTCACTTGTTTGAAAAAAGGAAAACAAACAAATTTCAGTCTTCAAAATTACCACAAAAAACTGAATTACCACCCTTGTACCTCAGTAATATCATTAATTAGGATCATTTGCACCACTGACTGAGGAGTCACAGAACCCTTTGTTCAGTTACAAGAGCAAGCATTTTTACAGATCAAGCATTCTTGATCATTGCTTCTGAGACAGGGTCCATGAGAGAAATGAGTGTTCCTCTCCCTTTTATTAAATAGCTTTATTCCTTTCCTGCATTCTCTTGCTTTGGGGTACCTTTTTTGTGGAGAAATGGCATTTTCAGATTGGCAAACAGCCCCTCTTTCCGATACCTGGAGCTCACAGCAGATACTTATTTTCTAAAAGGTAGATAAAGGACCTAGGCATGCTATTGCCACACTTTAAAGATGAGACCTATATATGTACAGCATGCAAGGATAATTAAGAAATGGGAGATCAAATACCAGTCAGCTGAAATTATTATTTTTAGCTTAGGATAAAGACAAATACTGACCTTGAGAACATGTTTATATATTCTCAGCTAGAGATATTATGTTGGAAAGACTCTAGTGTTTCGGTGTCTTTATGTTAGTACAAGGTGCAGGAAAACAGGATACAGTTCCCATAACACAAAGTCTGGGTGAAAACTTGGCTTGTATTTAGTTGATAGCACTAGGAATTTTGTAAGATTGCCTGAAGAAGACAGGGTTGTAAATGAAAGGAAAATTGTGTTTTATAGCATGGAGTTTGATTTTTTTTTGTACCAGTGTTTATATGCATGGTGAAATACAAAATGCTTTTGCTCTTGTCCTTCAGAATATATAGTAAGAATAGGCACAACAGTCAACTTTAGAGAAAAAGATATTTTTTTGAAGAGAATTAAGGTATGTCAAGGCTCACTTAAAACTGTAGCAAACAAACCTAAGGACCTGAATGTATTCTTAAAATAAAGGATGTGATTAAGAGAAAAAATTCAGAAGAGCACCAAAAATACAGGGTACTAAACTCTAGAGACTTAATCCTCAGATGGTCTGCAAGTTGCATAAAGTTTCTCAGAGGAGAGGAAGGGAATTGTCTCAGTTTAGAAAGATTTGACTTCTAGCAGTCTAGAAGAAACCAGAGTTAGGAGCAAACAAAGATGTGAAGAATTCCAGTACTGTCAGACAGCTAAATATGCTGACAAATGTATTTTGTTATTGCATTTTCTTCTAATATGCTTTGTGAGTGCTCTGTCTTGAAACTTTTGTTTCTTATGTTTTAATCAGTTTGTTGACAACATTTCTTCACGAGAAGAAGTGGATCAAGCTGAATACTACCTTTACAAGTAAGCATCTTTTCTCTCCAGCACGAACTGTGAGTCATACAAGTAAATACCATGAGGTGTTGTCCTTTGAAGAAGACTGACCCTTTACAACTTACTGGCTTTGATTTCTCTCTAGCAAAGTATGCTCATCTACTTGTCTTACAACTCACACCTAAGGGCTTTCTTGGTTGTTATGGCTGTCCTCCTCTGGACCTCTGCCACTGATTCCTGTCAGGCATGTTAGTTTGAACTACTGAACAGCCAATGCAACCTCCAGCTGTGGTTTACATTAGAAATTATAAGGAATTATGTTTGTTCACAGCTTTTCCTTCTGATAGTTTTTTATTACTAAGTCATTATTTATCTAAATTGCTATATGCATATTTGTGTGTGTATGTATAGGACTCAGTGAAGCTTGTTTCCTTGGAACTAGCAAAAATGAAAATGGACATTCTATGGTAATGATCAGGTCAAGGTTGAATGAAGTGTAGTTTTTATCCCCTTACTATTTTCATGTTTCCCAGATCAGCTGTGTGGTTCACCTTATGCATGGGTTGTTAGGGTTTTCTGTAACTATTCTTTTGTTAAGTGAAGTGTACAGGGTACCTTTACTGCTGGTGTCAGGTTGAATGCTTGCTTGCTTTAAGTCAATACCTCTCAATATTGACTTTAAGAGGGCAAAAATTCTTGCTGATCACTAAAACAAATTAATTCCTTTATGGATGGTTGCACACACACGTTGAAAGCTAAGTCTTCTGATGGAGAAAGTAACTCATGCTGTCAAAACGTGTGAGAAGGCATCCTTACAAATAATGTCAGGTTGTTATTTGTAAATAACAATGATTTTTATTTTAATTAAGATGTTTGCTGGATGGCTGTTTTAATTAAATGCATAGTTTTAAATACATAATTGCATTAGAATTCAAATCTCCGTGATTCGCTGATACTAATGGGACAGTATCTGAATACTAGCAATATCCTGTAGTGAGAAAATAAAAATAGGAAGAATCTCTCACAGAGGGGTAGTTAGTGGAGCTTTCATTCCTTTTGATCAAGATTTCCTTAGTCCTGTCAGAATCTGTGGTCAGAAATGAATTTTCCGTCCTGCAATGGCAGAGATGAAAACAGGACAAGGTAAAGCCACTTTAATGCCAGCCATCTGGTACCTTTTAGTAACATTCTTGAAGATTGAAAAGTATTTTGTGCGACACGTACTTAAGCCCTCTCTGATTGAGTCAGGGCCTCTATGATCGGGGATGTCAAGAGACCTTTGATTTCCCTGACATGCAGAGGAAAGGGAATTACTAAGTCTCAAAATGGTACAGATAAAATCCAGATAGTGAGACATCCATATATAATGTATCTTTCAGGTTCTTTATTCTTACATGTTCTTTCTTTTTGAAAAAAGTTCAAGGAGAGTGACAAAAAAACAGAAGCAAGAAAATGGTCCATAGTAAGAGGTAGAGAATGGTATTGGAATCTCCTAACATGTAAATATCTTTTTTACTTTTCATCTGTGCCTGGCTAATTCATCAGTTTAAAATACAAGGTTTTTATCTTAAGAACACATCCTTGTGTAGAGAGTTACATTTCAAGAATAATTACAGTTATTTACCATTTCCCTAAGAAATAATTCTCCCATGGCTGGTGAGAATATAGTTATGTGCACATCAAATACGATCATTTGTATCAATGTGGAGAGAATAGAGAAGTACTGATGTGTCACATGGCTTGTCAGACATGCTTTAGCTGGAATTTTTCTTTGTGTCTCTGCAATGCTGCTTTGTTTTGGTGTTGTAGTCTTTTGGTGATGTTAGCAACGTTTTTCAATTCATTCCAGCATTGATCCATGAAACTATTCTCAAAAATGCACATATATACAGGTAGTGATTGGTATATGCAAGACCTCTTTAAACTGGTCTTTGCACTTAGACTGGAGTTCAAATGAAGGATGTGTTTATAAAAATAGGCCTTTGCATGTGGGAGCATGTTCGGCACAAAAAAGTCCTGAAAAAGGGGCCACACCAGGAGACATAAGTGAAGGGAGTAGAGAGGGAGAATTAAGGAGCAGAGAAGCTTTGACAAGTAATCTCTTTTTATGCCTTCACGAGAAACAGTTCCAAGCACAATTTTTGTACTTTATGTAAGGAGAATAAGCTTTTAAAAAGAAGAAAGGCAGTGTAAAATAAAGACTGGTTTTGTGTCCTCTGAGGTATACAAATCCATTGCAAACAAATGGTCTGGTAAGTTGACTGTATGTGCATTTTCCTGAACATAAATGAGAGAATGCTCCCAGAGTCCTGTGTTTTTCCCCTTAACTGCTTGTAGAGTATAAAGAAGGGATTTTGATATCTCTCCCCAGTGTTTGGTGCCTCTGGCAACCTGAGGTGAAGGGTAGTCAGTTCCAAGGCCCCTACAAGGCTGGAAGATGTTCCTGGTACAAAAGGCAAAATCCCTGCAGGAAGAATCAGGGGAAAGTATGCTTGCTATCTCGAGGTTTTCTGAAGACAGGAGTGACAGAACTTGTAATCATTAGCTTTGTAGACTGGGGAGTTTCCTTCTATTATGTCAGATGTTTCAAAAAGTAGTATTCTGGAGCATTACCATAATGCATTTAGGGTTCTGAAATACAATTATATGTATTATATCTAGACCTGTTTCAATTTTCTATCCTTTTAAAGCAGTGGATCTCCAGCCATACTGTCTCCACAGAGGATCTTGAGCTCCCAAGAATAGCTGTGTGGAAACTGCTATGCCACATTGTGAAACATGTCAGTAAGATGGTAAAGGCCAGTTTGAGGCATGACGTCATCTGCTTTCAGTGCTCCTCTTTTTGTTCTCTTCTGAATACCTCCCCCCCTCTGTTAACTGTCAGACTTAAAAAAATCCTTTCATCTCCTAGGATCCCAGCAAAAATTCTAATCAGAATGCAGAGCCCTTTCAGCTAGATCAAAGATCTGCAGTTCGCCTTACTTTGTCCTGTCTCACTGAGATGTCACTATTTCACACATCAGGGTGTTTTTCATATGATGGAAACATTAGCATAATGGAAGGAGGTTTTGTGGTGAGGTAACTGCTGATTCTGTATGTAGGTTTTATGCCAACAAAGATTTTCAATGGGTATGAAAGCAATTGGTGAAGTTTTATGTTGAGATTCCTCAGGAGAATTTTTAATTGCATTGAATGCATGACCCACTCTGTAGATAAAAATATACACGCTATCTGCACAACACGTTTGTGTGTGCATGCGCTCTGCAAATTCTCGCACAATCTACCTAGATGTTTTTATTACCTTTCTGTGATTGATAATTGCTTTTTACCTGGACTCCTTACTTGATTATAATCACAAAATGGGACAATAGTCTATTAGAAGTTATTCTTAGATGTAAAATATATATATATATATGTAATATCTTCATAGAAGTGTTTAGATTGGATGGTAGTAAGTTACAGCTTTGAAGCCTGATTTCAGCCTTTAAATCATTTTGGGACTAAGATGGTCCCAAAATGCTCGATATATATGAAATTGTGCTTATTCCTTAAAATGCTTGTTATCAGTAGTTAATGCAACATTACATGCAAAATAAGTTTCACCTGCACTGTCTGTATTTGCATGTCTGTTTTGTGGGTGCAGAAGTTGCAGTTTTTACTACTTTCATGCCAGTCAATCAGTTCAGTGTCTGAAAATGTTGGTGCATAGTATGTAGAAACAGATAGCAGATGTGATACAGGTTCCAGAAGGCGAAAGCCTTTGGAAATGGAAAGAACATTTAAGATGACCCTGATAAAGGATGAACTAATACACCATAGTTACACATCTGATCTTATTTTGTTCTATTATGCACCATTTTATATAAAGTCAGTTTATAACAAAATTATTGTGATGCATCTTTCTTTAGCTTGTGAATGACTGGACATGTTAATTTTCAAACATCTGACTTTTTTATTTACAAAAATTGATGGTTTTGCTTTTGTAGGACTGACATTTGGTCAACAATTGGTTACCGGATAATTTAGAAAATTATCTGATTATATCCAGCAGACCATAGATTTCTTTTTGGCTCCAGTAATAAAGAAATTTGAAAAGCCAGCTTATGTTGCTTGATTCCAATGGCTCATCTTTTTTCTAAATATGTCCATCTTCTTCAGAAACATCAAGAATTATTAGAGTGCAGAACAGAAATGAAAGTAGGTACATTAAGCTTGTATATCTGCTTATTTCTGCATATACATTTGTGCCTGTGAAAAAGTGTTCTACTCCCTAAGGGCAGAAAAGGCTTGATTGCAGACAGACCCACAAAACAATGTTTTGCTGTAATTGAATAGAGTAATATTGACTCAGTAGATAAGCAAAGGTTATGGATTAACATTTTCCTGGGGTGATTTCTGAGGTTATTACTCTTTCTCATTGTTTTACAGAAATGGGAAATTAAAGTGTGAATTTTTGAATGTAAGATGCCCAGTAGCAATGTGAAAAAAAATGGTTATTTGGGGTGGGTTTTTTTTTTTGGTTGTTTTTTTGGGGTTTTTTTTTGGTTGGTTGAGGTTTTGTTGTTGTTTTAATGTTGCTTTAATAGTGAGCTATTTTTAAAGATGCATTCTCCGGATAATCTATCTATATTATCTGCTGGAATGAGTCCAATTTCATTTTTGATGCTTCTCTGTACCAAGCACTCGAGTTACTCTGCTCAGGTACCCGCAACTGTTCCTTCTGCCATAGACTCTATTATTTCTTTCTATTTCTGACATTTATTTGGTAAATCTTTGGTTCCTGGGCAGATTAATCCCTTCCTTACCTTTTTGTTTGTTTGTGGTTTTGTTGTTTTGTTTGGTTGCTTGGAGTTTTTTTGTGGAGGGCATTGGTGGTGGGGGAAAACAGTATGGGGTTGAGAAAAGCTTGGATAGAAGTCCAAGCCTCTCTTATTAGCTAATCACATCCCCTTACCTATTTCCTAGAATCCTGACATGTCCCCTGTCTCTGAAGGAGAATGTCCCCAGGCTTTCCAGCTGCCTCTGTGTCT